TCTGGTTAAGAAGGATCGTCTTACAGATCCTGAGATAATCATTGTTTCTGTGTGAAAACATGTTTCATGAAGTATGTTTATTCAACATGTGTCGCAGAAATATATGTCCAGGCGCTCATTAGGAGCTCTAGCTTTCTAAACTCTTAGATGCACACATCTGCTGCACTTTCACTGTCGCACACATTTGCTCTAAACGTAGCCGCGGCATGAGCTCCTCAGCAGCTGAATTAAAGCGTTCAGCTGTTGTTTTTGCTCGTGAGAGCTGTGAGCAAAACGGGGGAGAGTGTTGCTATTTCAGCTGTGGTGAAACACAGAGAAGGGGATGGGTGGGGGGTGGGGGCAGCCTGCCTGCCAGACCTGACCACAGAGAGAGGGAGCTGAAGCTGGGGCCGAGGCCACTGCTACTGACCCGAAGAGCAGACAGTAAACACCGGCTTTATGGTCATTCTGAATGTGGTGGGTCCCCAGTGTGGAAGCTCTTACACTGCATTTATACAAGTGTGACTCTGGAAGGCAGAGTTAGATTTCTGTAGTTTTCAAACAAAATGACCTTAATCATCGACATGTATACAGTTTTATAGTAAGGCATTCTGGAATATAAGTAGTTTTGTTTTATGCATCTTAATCCATTTTCTCCCATCACTTCAGAGAGAAACAGTTATTTATTTGACAAAAGCTAATATTAAACAACCCATAAGATCTGCCCTCAATCTGCCACTTGAATTCCWACAAATGTCTTTCAAAGCAGATGCATTTATTTTACAACCATAGATACAGGACCTGAAGCTGGAAGTTGAAGCCTTAAAGACAGAGCGCCCCCTGTAGGCTGTCTGTGTTACTGTTTAAGCCCCGCCCCTCTATGTACATTAATGGGCCATTTTCCTGGCTTTAATCAAGTGATAATTTTTACTAATTCACGCAGCTCTTCAGTGTTCAAATATCTTTTTTTCGAATATGTTTTCAGTTCTTTGTTTGAGGTTTTTAAAAAATGTCACACTATGATTGTGCTTGTTAAACTTTTATTTTTTGTGTTTSTTTGCTGCAGATRAAAGCTCTTTTGTWTTAAKCACATTTTGTTACGATTTCACCAACATATTTATYATCAGCTTCAAAAATCTGAAGCATTCTGGAAATATTCCCATCAAATAAAAATACATTTACAGACACTTTAAAATAGCRTGAAAGTAGCAGTTTGAGCACAAAATGTGAAACATCTCTGCCCTGGCATTAACCGGAGGAGATGTGAAAAAGTAGTTGGATGCTTCTTGTGTGGCTTCTTTTTGACTTTTTGAAACCGTATTATTGTTGTACGTTTCAGGTAAAAAACAACAAAGCCAGTTTTTGTAAGGGGGTGGGGGGTGTTGGACAAACATATAAGACCTGCTGGTGATTTCCTCTTGTTTTCAGCTGTGCTATAGCAACCGGCTGAATGTCCGGGTGACAAAAGACAAAACCTGCTTGTTTCCATAATGGAGGCTGCGTTACAGTGGAGAGGGGAAACGGTGATGACAGGTTCAGGTGTGTTTTAATAACCCCCCTCCTACCTCCTGAAACAAGGGGTCACCTGTGAGCTGTCACACTGAGGGGTTCAGGGCCAGGTTTGATGTCAGGGACCCACAGACGAAGCAGATCTCATTCATTTGTTCCTGATTGATGATGTTTTACCTCCATTATAGTGGATTATAAAGGGTTAAACAAGCACATTAAAATGAGCTCACTTTTGTAACTTAAAGGGATCGTTCAGGTTTTTAAGAATTGGCTTCTTTGGAAAAATGTATGATCATCAAGAGAGTAAAATCAATTGTAAAAATATTAGCTAGTTGCATTTTTGTTTGCCATAATTGTTCTGAGAAATAAAAACGAGTTATTATTTTAAAAAAACTTGTGTAGTAATAGTTTTTTWTCTTATTATAACTCTTGTTTAATTGGTCTAACTGTAATGTTAACATATTTTGATCAGACATAGTTGGAATTACAAGTTTAAGAAGCTGATAAGTTTTGGAACCAATATTATAGACAAAAATACCTTTTATGTATGTTATGTTATGTATGTATGTATGTATGTATGTATGTATGTATGTATGTATGTATGTATGTATGTATGT